TACGGCAAAACATGCCCCTTCTAAATCTCTATCTAATGTGAAGATCTATGACTTCAACCGAATGGCATATTACTCTAGATGCGTTTCTGTTTCATATACTGAAAACTTTGAATGGACAGTTGGAATTCTTTCAGTCCCAATGTCATAACTCAGCACTTGAGCATCAAATCTTGATCTAATGGTTCTAAAGTTTTTTTTTTTTTTCTATTTTATAAAACATATTGAAGTGAAATATTGGGTGTCCACACATCTAACAAGGGTGTAGAGGATAAAAATAGGAAGAAAATATTTTTGATGAGAAAAAATGACCAAACGTCCCTAGAACTTGCAGGGCCTTTTTGGGTATTTATTTTTATAAGAAGATTTTAGTTTTTATTTTTGCTAGGTACGCCCCAATAAGGTGAGGTCATGTCCCAAATTTAATTCCAAAATTTTGTAAAAAAATATTTTAAAAATCAAACAGTATTCAATGTGACATTGTGATAGAAGCATTCCGGTAGTCTATGAAGATTTGACGGTTGGGACCAATGTTCATACATGCTTTACGTGTGGGTGGCGGCAGATATATTTACAACCATTAGTGCATATGTGACTAGTTACTCAGAATGAATAGGAATAATAATGTAGGTTCAAAGAAAAAATTGAAAACAATCCATTTTTATAGTTTAGAGTCCGTTACTTCTTGAAATTCATGATCATGGTGATGAAGTTTAGCAACCTATGAACTTCTAGGTTCACTATCCATAACTGGATGGATTTTTGCATTTTTTGCATTTGCTAAATTCTCATAAAAAAAAAGATCAAGTTAACACTAAAAAGTAAAAATGGATTTTTGCATCTAAATAGATATGCATTAGCTAGCCACCAAAACCCATAAGGGACAGTTTATCGGAACCGTTGAATGTTAGTTGTGACGATTGTGTTTACATATAACATGCAATTTTATTGTAGGGCAAGCTTTCTATGCTTCCCCTACAGCATAAAATTTACATACTTCCCCTTATCCAACCGTTCATTTTGAATGGAGGGCTAAGACTGGCCCAATCACAATGTCACGTTTCTACACTATTTTATTTTTAATTTTTTTTTATAAACTATTTTGACACCAAATTTTGGACGTCCAATCTTCTATTAAACTCGCACTAGTGAAAAATATAAAAACAATATTTTCAATAAAATAAAATGACCAAAATACCTTGAAATTTGTAAGGCGTATTTTGGTTATTATATTTTATGAAAAATTATTTTTAATATTTTTTATAGATGCGCCCCAATGAGAAGATGGCATCTACCAAATTTCATATTCATACAATTTGTATAAAAAACACTAAAAATAAAATAGTTTGAGATGTCGGATCTAAAATCAAACGGTGAGTGACTCTCTTGATCAAAATTGGATGGCTAGATGGTAGGGAAAGCATAGATCTTCTATGGTATAGGAGAAGTGTAGAAACCTTTCTCTTTATTGTACACATGACATGGCTCAAAAAGATGTATGTCAACCGTCATCACATCACAGTCAAATAAGGAGTTAAACACTGAGAATCACCACAACATGTCCCCACTTGAAAGTGTGTCCAATGAGTCGCCATCATCTGGTCATTGATCAGACATCCCAATGAACTTCTTTTTCTATGACCTATATAATTAAAGGAAACAATTTATATAAGGTTGCAACCTTAAAATATAGAATTATATATGCACCTCAAAAATCCATGGAAAAAGTTGTTTTATTGTTGAAAAACCATCTAATTGATCATCTAGACATCGAGATGTATGAATATAGAAAAAAAAAAAAAAAAAATTTGAGTCCTTGAAATAGTGCATCGGACTACACATGATCTAAACCATTTATTTTCAAGATTTTCTTATGTTTGTAGATTTACGTAATTTTAATCATTTTTGGAGTTTAAAACTTTATAATTAGATATGAAAATAGATTTTAAGATAATCTTAAGAATATTTTACACCAAACTTACATGTTGTGATAAAATTTAAAGGTGCGCCTTAATTGGATTGTTTAATGTTGCAAACTTATACAAACGACACCCATAATTAAAAGATGAAGTTTCTATAATGCATAGGTTTTATGAGAACCAAATAAAGCCTCACCTTAAATTATTGTCTAAAAAGCACTTTCGACAACGAAAATCTCTATGATGGCTCTACAATCAATTTCCAACACCCATAATAAAATTTAAAACTCAAAAGACTGTACAGGATTTATAAAGACTTATTTTTAGAGTGAAACGGTTTGCATAGATAATTTGTTACAATACGTAGAGCTTGAAATTCAAATTTTTTCCCAGCCATAATGTACCAAATGATCCATGTTAAAGTTTTCCAATACTTGAATTATGAGATTTGGCGTTAATATTTTGATAAGGCGGCATCCTTATGAAACCATTTTCCATAATTAAAATAGGCTTTTTCTCTCTTGATTTAATCGAGTCCTTTCTCTCTTTGCTTTTAATTACCCCTTATCTTTCCACACTCTTTCTGCCCTCTCTCTCTCTACCTGTAGTGACTCCCAGGTTTGCTCCAAATGACTGAATTATGAGAGCAAAGATGAGACCAATAAGCACCACCCATAGCAGCTGTTACACGAACAATCATACATTATTTTTCAGCATCAAAACCCAAAGAAAAAACAAACAAACCCCAATCAACACGAAATGAAAAAGAATCTTATCTCTCATCCTACCTCGTACTGGTAACTTGCTCCTGCTTGAAGATCCGTCTCCACTGTAACAACAAATCGATTTAGTCCCACATAGAGAGAGAAAGTAATCTGACCACAAAACCAAGAAAATTATGATTTAGAGAGAGAGAGCAAAGTAAGAGGAGGTGGAATTACAGTTGTCAGGATCAAGATAGGCCAGTGAGACAAGAAAACCAGGTCCAATGTATGCCATAAACTTTCTCCATCCTGGTTCCTAGAGAGAGAAAGGTGTCAAATAATAGAACAGAAAGAGAAAAGGGGGAAATAGGGTTTCAGAGGAAGTTGAGTGCATACCTTTTGCTCAGGTGTGAAATGGTGCCTATCAGGGGAGCTGGGTTTCTTACTTCCAAGAGAAACTATGCGATTGTTTCCCCTCCATGAAGGGAAGGGTCCTTGCACACAGTCGTACTACTTTCATTCACACCCTGCCATCTCTTTTTCTCTAAACTGCACCAATATAAGTATCCCTACAAAGAAGCACATAGTAAAGCTGAGAGAGAGAGCAGTTTAAAGAGAGAGAGAGAGATGGCGGGTGTGAATAGAAGTGGTGCGGCCGTGTGCAAAAAGCCTTCATGGAGGGGAAGCAATCGCACCCACGTTTCTCTCCTCCCACATCCCATCCCATCCCATCCCACTTTATTCAAAGACACACTGACGCGCAACACACATTTTTCGAGGGTTAGTGAAGTTTGAGAGCCATGAAGAAGCTTCACGTACAATATCGGCACTACTGGTAGATACTTGATGAATACGCACCGTACCGTATTTGCCTTCAAATTACAGGCATGTTCCGGTACTAAGAAGATGGTGCACTTGTACATTTGATTTGGTTCGGGTGAAATTGATTTTTATAAAAAACATTTGTATGAAAAAATTATCATGATTCGCTTGAAATTGTTTTTTATAAAATATTTTTATATGAAAAAATTCTCATGAGATTAAATTTCATATCAATTGATTTTAATAAATTGATAAGTTATTGAAATAAAAATATTCTCACATTTAATCACATGTGATTTCGAAACATAATTTAACGCCTACATGCAAAACAAAAGAGACAGGCCGGGTCCCTTTTATTCCGTTTAAATCCACACAAGAAATCAAGAAAGCAAAATTTAAAAAGAGTGAGAAATAGGCATAGCCTTCAATGCGATGTTATGAATGGGGTCAATACCATTGCTTCAAGTTCAAGTTCAATGCATAGGTAGGTCAGTCAGGTCTACCCAAATTTCTATATTTGCATATCTACGCATTTAGTGCATTTTTCCATTTCCATACTGTAGTGGAAACATGTTCCCAAACACTTATGGCCCTCTCTCCTTCCTCCCCTCCCCCTCTATCCTACACCTAATTGTTCTCGCCCATCCACAATTAAATAAAGAGTGATTTACGTACAGATCCTAAAATCTTTTTTGGCTAAAAAAATGAAATGCATTATTTCTAATTAGAAATTACAGCAAATGTCAGCCAACCTACTTTTCTTTTTTTTTTTTCAAATTGCCCCTTGGTTTGAATTTTATTTTTTATTTTTTAGTGTTTTTGTTTTTTCATTAGTAGGCAGTAACTGAAGCTTTAGGGCAGTGCCCTAATAACGAAAAAAACTAAAAAGGCCGTACTAAAGAAAAACTAAAGGATAATAATAATTAAAATTCGATATGAGGATGTCCTCAGATCGAGGGGTAAATCTGAAAAAAAAAAAATAATAATAATTATTTTTTATAATTTTCACCTATAAATAGAGTGTTTTGTATTTTAGGAAAAATTTAAAGATCTGAACATAAAACACTGTTACATACACAAGGAATTATCATCTCTCCCCAATACACATCTATAAGAGAGATAAATACTTGACACCCAACCTTGAAGGGGATGACATGCATAAATCTCCCCTCCGTACATAGCAACATGATGGTTTTAAAATTAAACCTTCATTCATTTTCCATCAATCAAATTAAGGAACTCATTTATCAAGAAGCAAATCCTTTCATCTTTTTTAGCCTCTCGGGTTGGGCTGGTTGATCCATGAGTCAGCAAACGTTACAAGATGCACTATTTTCAAAACTTGAAATCCATTTTTTTCTCATGTTCATGCATCTTGATGTCGAGATGATCAATTTGAGGATATTTGGGCATCAAAATAACCTCTTCTTGTTAAACTTTTTAGGTAGGCTCTAATTTTCTTGTTTAGAGCCTCGGCTCTATATAAACTTTTTCCATTATTAAATAATACCAAATTTTGTTAATATCTTTCTGTTAGTACCATGGATCCATTACTAGTTCTCTAATAGGGTAAGTATGGATATGCTTATTACACTGGCCATACTCACTCTATCAATATCTATTTATTAATTTCATAAAACTAAATTTATAAAAAAAAATTAACATTTTGTATGCTTAATGCATTTGGACTCCCTCTCTTTGAAGGTCACCTACTTACATTCTCTCTAGCAATAGGGGGTCCATTTTACTTTTGAAACATATTTCCACCTTTTGATTGTGGCATAATAATGTAGTATAGATATTCATTTTTCTATCTTATTTACTCTTTGTACATCTCTAGTATTCGTTTGACTCAAAATCTCCGTGAAGTCCAACCTTTAAACCAAGTTTTGGCTAGCCATCTCTCTCTATTTTTCTCTCTCGTGAGTTAAAAAATTGTTTATTGAGAGGAAGCACTATACAGTTAAAGAAGTTTTTGCCAAAAATGGCCATTGGCCATAAATCTAGCAATAACATCGATTGAGCTGTGAGCCTGGTGAGCCTTGTCGTGAAGGTTTAGCTTTCATTTGGGGGCTTTGATCCCTTTTGTGAGGTACCATTTCTCTCTGAGGCTTCCAACTTTGGTGCATTGATCTCGCTGCAGATATCATTTCTGTCAAAGTGAGGAATGAGTCTCCCATCGGGTGCTCTTGGAGGCCGACAGGCTACATGACGATGTTCATGGAGTCCTACTCATCGATGAGGGGACGGTCTAGGACGTGGCCTTGGGTAGCCGTTCTTAAAACCTTGAGTAGCGCAACGGTTTCAGCTGTGGTCAAGTCCACCACTCTAATGAAACCCGAGTTTGAGTGTCGGGTGTGGCCTTAGTGATCTCTAAGAATTGTACCAAGTTGGCAGGGCCTAGGTTGCCGGGTGAAAATCCATCAAATTTTAGTTTGAAAGAAGCTCGGTCCAGTGGTAACTAAATGCTGGATGTTGGAATGGTCGGAGGTGGCTTCGAAAAGTGTGCAGGAGTGGGTACTTATGTATCTCTCCTTCTATTGTGATGGGAGGAGAGATCAATTTCTTTTGGTAAGAGTGAGAGCTAAGCATAGGTTTTTTTTACTTTTATTTTTGACAGAAGTTCCAAAATTTTATTAACGTAATTAATCAAAAGAGACTACATCGGAAGAGAACAAAAGAGAGGGCAGAGAAGCCCATCCTTTAGTCAAGGAATCAGCTAAAGCAGTTAATAAAAAGAGATTACATCGGAAGAGAACAAAAGAGATGGCAGAGAAGCCCCGGCTTTGGCCAGGGAATCAGCTAAGAGCATTCGCCTCGCAGGACACATGAGAAAAGGAAACCGATATGGACGCAGAAAGGTCCATGATTTTCAGCCAAGTAGATCGAAGCTTCCAAGGGATACGTCGTTCCTTCTTGTACCAACCAATCATATTTAAAGAGTCACCTTCAAAAATACAGCTCCGACCAAGGTTTTTAGAGATAAAAAATTTTAAACCTTGCAATAACGAAGCAAGCTCCTCGTGATTAGCACTGGCAGGGCCTAGGGGACCAGCATAGGAAAAGATGATCTCTCCCAAATTGTTGTGCAAGACCCCCCCAATACCAGCCAAACCATGATTGCCTAGCAAACTTCCATCAAACTTCAATTTGAGACACCCCTAGTCCAGTGTTGTCCAAAAGTTTTGAGGTCTCATCTTGACTTTACCCATTAGAAAGAGATTAGGTAAATTAAGCATTACACCCGAAAGAGAAAGACCCCACCCCTCCTTGGTGACTGAAAGCCAATGCCATAAAGAGAGCTTGATGTTATCAATAAACAGAGCATCCGAGAGGCTCACCCCTTCAAAAGTACGCCTATTCCTCTCTTTCCATATTTCCCAAAGCACCGCCCCTCTAGCAATTTGCCAGACCGTACAGCCACAGGCCGGTAAATGAGGGAAAGCTAGTTCAGACACAATATCCCCGCCCGACATGGGAATGGGGGCATGGATCCCAAGTAATCCGAAAAGCCAGTACCAAATTTTGGAGGCAACCTTACAGTGAATGAAAAGGTGATTCCCCATTTCCACATCCATTTTGCGTATCAGACAAATGTTTGGTAACACTTTACCTCTCTTTATCAAGTTGTCAACAGCCAATGTTTTATTTTGGATGGCAAGCCAAAGAAAAACCTACACCTTATTGGGGGTCGGCCACTTCCAAACTGTGGCTGTGAGAGGTAGAGACCACCACCATCTGTCATGGAACAAGGTTCTATAACACTTAACCAAAACAAGACCATCGCATGCAAGTTCCCAGATGAGATCATTCGGGTGGCCAAGGGAGATGTAAACCTTCTCCAATAGGCCCAAAAGATGTAGCCACTAATTGTAAGCCTCGCCATTGAAATATTCCAGGCAATGTTAGGGCCTGTACAATCAAACACCTCAGCAACCATGGCATTCAGGTGGAGAACCTTAGCGAAGAGAACAGGGCAACTCAGCTTCAGTGGGATGTCACCTAACCACTTATGGTGCCAGAATGAAATCGAAGTACTATTCCCCACATTTCAGCAGAAATGGCTTGCAATCATCGGTCTGCACCTGAAAATAAGCTTCCACAAAAAAGAAGCTTCACATAGGCGGCCGCCTTCTAACCATATGCTAAACATGTCCCTCGCGTATTTGGAAGTTAGAACCTCAACCCAAAGCTGATTAGAGCACAGGAAACTCCTCCACCACTATTTACAGAGCAAAGCCTCATTCATGTATTTAAGTTTGCTATGCCCAAATATGCCTTGTTTCTCACTATTTTATGTTGTTTTTCATTAAAAAAAGATCAAAATAGACCATATTTGGGGTCTGGGATGTTTGAATCTTCTAGATCCCTGACTGTAGGAGGTGACACAAAGTGTGTTGCTCTGCATGCCTTAGGCGACACACCTGGCGTCTCCTACACTGGCTTGGGCAACACACTTTGTGTCGCCCAGTTCCATGGGTCTCGAAATATTTCCAGTGACAACAATCCTATTTCACAGTTTCTGGACTTCTGTCTCACAGTTTTTGGATTGAAAGTAAAATTTTAAAAATATATAAAAAAAAATCATTTTATAGGAAAGAAGATCAGTTTCAATTTGTGCATGATTTTTATTTTATTTTAATTTATATTATTTTATTTTATCTTCATCCATGAGTTGCTTACATTCACATGTTCATATTAGCCTTGTATAAAAACTAAAAACAACAAAAATTAAGAAATATATATGATAACCAAAAAAAAAGGAATCAAGGTTTGCCTGCACCCTCCTTCGACTATGTCCTGATCGAGTCACCCTCGACTCGGGTTTCACTCAACTAGGCACGAATCGTGCCCTGTTTCCACTTTCTT